CAAAAAGTTTTTATCGGTAGTCAAAGTCTGCGGTGGAAGTTGCGGTGAAACAATTTTGGGTTTACCGCATGCGCGACCTTGCTTGAGATTTACGTTCTTGGGTAACGCAGTGAGGAAACGAAAAATTGTACATGGCTTTTGTCTACCTCTATAAAGTTATACGACGGTCCCAAAAGTTGGGACTGTTGACACAGGGTCTCCTCCACTTCGTGGTACCGATGGGCCTTAAGGTTCTAGTACACGTTCACTGGTTAGAAGTTCGCCCTTGAGATTTATGGAACTCGATCTCGATACAAATTTTGAAATTGTACGGCTAGAAAAATTGAATTTTTTTTTTAACAAACATTCCATTAATTTTTGATACTAAGGAACACGTGTTTAGAAGAAAAAAAAAATTATAAAAGTTTATCGTTGGAAAATTTTCTTTGGTATTTCGAAAAATCCAGAGAACGGGGTGAGAGCTGAGGTTGTCGAAAGGAGTCGCGCGTTTGACTCGAGTGAGTCTCCAGCCACCCCCTGTGGACACTCATCCCTGGACACCCCAGACTGGACAGGGCCCTATTGTCAACGTGCTATCTTTACAGGCCTGCTGGGCCACGAAATTTACAGGGTCCTCTTAGACCGACATAAGCACCATAGAAAATGTCAGAAGCCACGCGCTATGCCTTCTGCCTCAGGATATCCTCATTTTTCTCTGACCGGCGTGAAAAGCGAAGACAGCCGAAGATACACGGTTCAATACGAAGTGGAGTAACGTATAAAATTGAATAAGGCCCAATTTATGTTCCTTATGTATAAAACTATTAGCGTCAATGCTTAAGAAATGCCCCCCGACAAGCGAAGGGTTCCCAAATGGTTTTTGTTAGTTTTTAATTCACGTAACTAATAATTTACATTTCTTTGACGATTGAACAAGCGCGTATTACACTGTAAAAAAAATGAAACAAAACAGCCACGCGCCCAGTAAGCAACAAATAACAATAGACAAAAGGGAGGCACGCGTTGTTGATCGAATTGCACGACAGGGGTACCACCCTTACAGTACTTTCACCCTTAGATACTTGTACATCGTATCCCCGAGTACTTCAATGTAATTCTTTCATTTTATTACGTGTTCAACAATGACGGCATACTTTCAGTCAAGCATCATCCAGAATCACGTGACAATTGGCATACAGTAAATTTGAGTATCAAGACGGGAGGACTTCTAAAAGTAACCGGGAAGGCCCCGATAAAACGGACTCCGCAAGGGGCCCAAAAATAAATATGTCTGGATTTCGCATTGATTCTTCAGATAAACATGCGCCTTGTGGACTTTGGATTGATCGTAAGTTTTGTATTTATTTGGGGGCAGTGACTACTCCCCACGTGGTCCCCCTCTGACAAATAAGAAAACTATAATAAAACACCATGGGCCCGCTGGGCCTTTCGTACTATGAACAATGTTACTACCAGAACGTACCACTCGCTTCAGAATTTTAGTAACGCGTGTACTTACCCTCCCGTATCGAAAAGGCACCGTGCAGTGATAATCGATAGGGATCACCCTGTATACTGGGTCAATGGACAAAGCCACCCCCCTTCGGTAAAAACGATATGAAAAATCCCCCACTGATATCAGTCACCGCACAGTCGTGAATTTTGTCACGCGTGAAATTTTATTATTATTACGTTTAGACGTCTCGTTGAAAAATTTTTTCTCCGCTAGATCGTCCGTTACGTTCAAATACAAACAGGTAATTCTCTTGCGTCGTGTTATAAGTTACGAACCTGCATTACGGGTGAGTATTAAATAGGCGAAGTGTCGTTATCGTTTGAAATTGAGGTGTAAACCGCACGAGATTCATAACCTATTCTTAGAGCCGTGAACAAGGGTGCATGATGGGTCGTAAGGTGATGATCCTTCGAGGACCTTTATACGACACTAAATTTCGTGACCCGGTCACGAAAAATGTCAACTCAGGTTCGTTGTTCCAAAAGGTTGTTCTCGGTGGGCTCAAATGCCTGTATACTGAATTAGTTGGTGTAACAAGTAAAATTTCGTTTATTATGGGAATCCAATTTAGTTTACGAGTCGTAAGAACGTGAAGACCACGAAATGTTATACTATGACCACAAAGCCATCTGTAATTTTGTATAACGAACTTTTCGGAAGTTTCTTTACCGACAACTTGAAGAAGTAGACTTTCCATTTTATTGGTGGGTTATATTTCTTGAACTTTACTAGCTTCTCGAACACAGTGGTTAGTGGGTCGCAGGCTTTTGAATATTTCGATAAATATTTAATACTTTCTGTGAGTGCTGATACATATTTGTTTAGAAATTTCATTTAAACTTTTAGGCGGCAATTTAAATTAGAAAAATTTTGTCAGACTGCTTTGATTGTCATTTTGGCATTTACGAGGTAAAAGTTTTCTTACCTCTTTTTTTTTCATAATTTTTTCACTTTCTTATTTTCGAAATAAGGTGAAGGGATGTCTGTAAAAATTAAACAATGGATTAGAAAGGAGTAACTTGACTTTTTAGGTAGTACAGAATTTTTTTTAGGTTAGAAGGAAAAAAATTGAACCAAGATTTTTCATGAAGAATTCTGGGTAGGCCAAACTAAAAAAGAGGGCAGGGTGTTACGAAAAAAAAAGCGGTACTTTTTCCCATAACATTTTTAAACACTGCTCGACGTGGTGACAAAAAACGAGTACACCATGGAAGAGTCACCTTTTTGAGTAACGGATTTTTATAGCTTTACGACCAAATCTCGTGGAATTTGGTTAGAGCGAACGTTGAAAATGGGATACCGCAACTTTTTTGCATAACGGGTAAAAATGTCGGGTTGTACCCTGCGGAATATTTTTTCTCGAGGGCAGTACGCTCAAAACTATAGACGAAAATCCTTTCACGGGTCCTTCGCTTTTTTAACGGTTTTTCTAACAAGCACTCCCTAACGGAAAAAAAAGAAAGACGGAGCATTACCATTATCTGGTAATAACGGTGAGCAAAATAAAAAAGCGCGACTCCGTCAAGCAGACCGATACGAAAGAGTCGCGTGAAAAAAGTTTTGCAAGAAAATACATTTTTTGTTTGCCAAAATAAATCAAGAGTACCGACTCCCTTAAAAAATGTTTCAGAGACACGTTTCACGACACTTGTTCTTTTTTCGCAAACAACCAACGAAAAAGTCACTCCGCAACTAGAATAACTTTCTTGCGATCAGCATGACGCATTATTCTTAAAAGTCATTATACAAAATTGTATCAACACCCGACGCTATATATGTATATTTTTCATACGGGGATTTAACAGTCCCACAACTAAACACCGTATCATCAATACATATTAAATAAAGCTAAAATAGTTAGCATAGCCCGAAGCTTCTAATTAAAATAACAAACGTACTTCTACCAGGCTTTCAGAAAACTCAACGCCGCGGTCTACCTATATCGGGAAAGAGAAAGAGGTTAGTCAAGAGGAATGAAAATGAATTCGCTAAGGTTTCCAGAAGTCCAAACCGCCGTAGCACAACATTTCAGTTTTCGCTTTGTGTACAAATGTTTCCGTATTATATCGCAAGCTGGCGCAGCAGAGAGCCAGGATGTTCCTGGCAGTAGTTCGCGATTATATACATACCATATATACATATATATACAAAGAGGGTGGTGAAACGAAGGCAGGGTCGGCAACCATCGAGGGGTTGGCTTTGGCGTCTCGTTACAGCGGTTGGCTGTAGAGGTGGTTAGGATGGCGTAGGCCAGAGGGTGAGCCGTTCGCCGTGTTTTTCACCGATTGAATCAATTAAAGGGAAAAACTCCAGCCGCGCGTTCTCTAACACAGCCAGCTCAAATATTCATACCAACCTTTATACTCTTGTCTCATGCTTTGAAAAACTGGTTAGATTAGGTTAGGTTGTAGGGATGACGAAGAGTGACCGAAAAAATCAGAAACACCAAGACAACGTACCTCAGTTCGTATCCCTCGCGATATTCGTAAGTAGAAATCTAAAGCCATAATGATTTTATTACACTGTATATAAAATAATATTACAAAATAAAAAAAAAAGAGAGAGAAACGGGTCTCTGACTTTGTAAGGCGATATCTGTAAGAAGCTAGGTTATGTGGTAGAGAGTAAAGGGCAGTGTCAGGCAACAGGACTTAATCTCTTAATTACCACTAGATGCCGTGAGCAGCACCGCTTCTTAAGGTTGGCAAGACTTACCGGTAATAGTAGACTGTTAATCCTGCCATCCGGCTTGTTTGATAAATAATATCATCGCTACCCTAATCAGGATTGTGTAAGATGTCGATTACGTTATAGCGGAACACGAAAGAGGTTAAGTATGAATCTGTGATACACGTACCTTCTAATTTGGAGTATTATAACACTGTCAAAAGATAGGATGACAAGATTACAAGAAAAGGTGACAAACATAGTGATATATAAAAATCTTTGGATAAATAATAATAACAAACGCATCATCCTTCCAGACAGGAGCCACCTATAACAAATAAGTTACTCTGTTGACTGGGAGACAGCTCGCTGTGACATCCGGCAATAATGGCTGTAGAAAAGCCGATTCAGCAAATCAGAGTCTTTCACGCCATGGAATTCCTAATTGACAGTCCCGTGGCGGAAGTCCTGTTAGTCCTGGGCACGGACGATTCACCGTCGTAAGCGGAAAATAAAAAACGTGTCCAAGTGGTAGTCTAAGCATGGGACAAACATGGAATGGGATTGAAAATATTGTAGAGGAAAAATTGAATAATTTAATTATTTTCTTTTAGAATAAATGAAGTCATTTTAATATATTAATATGTCCTATAGAGGGATGAAATAATCGTCTTGATTTTATATCACGGATGAGAGCTTGAAGAGACTCCTGGTTAACGACATCGGGCACGATGCCCCACAGGTGCAACGAGGCGTGTGTAATCAAGTTAGTAATTTATATAAAACAGTGCGGTGTCGGGAGGGTCATACGACGCTGTATGACATAAATTCAGTTACATAAACAGATGCACAGTGAAGCCCCAAGGTTTGGTGAAGCTTGAAAGCACTGGGAAGCCCCTACGAAATCTTTACATATGCATGGACCACTAGCGATACCATAGAAAGACGTGGTTAATGAAACCGTTCACATTCTGGGCAAGGGTCCACTAGTGAAAACAAGAGTTCGTATATCAGAGTGACGATAAACAAGATGGCTGGAGGTCTTAGGTAATACAGCTGGTACATTACAAACAGACAAAAAGGAGATAAGAGATGAAATTTAATATCAGCAAAAATAACTGAATCTGTCAAGGATATTTTAAAATCAAATAACTAGGGTGTCGATGGTACTGATTTTAATGTAGTTTAAAAATACCCCTTCAAGATAATTGAATTAGACATAACAACGATGGGATAGCAAAGAAAGATGTAATGCGGACGTGATGTAAAAGTTCAATGCTGGTAAAGATTAGAGAAACGCATTGTTCATATCGTATAAGAGAATAATAGTAAGGGCTTTGTGGGTGGAGCCAATATTGATAAAATAGCGCGCGGAATATTTTGAAATTGGATCTTTTAATTTGTAAATAGAGATATTACTCCCATTACGGGGATTGTATTGTGAATCGCGGCAGAGGGTTCACAAGGACCGCTTTTAATGACCCGGATGCGGATGGCTCCACCTAGGAGTGTCGTGTTCGATTCGGAAAGGTTGTGCTTCGTAATTCCAAGGTAATTCTCTATTCTTACCCCGTTCCACCTATCGGCGCGATGCACCACGGGTTCGTATTTCAAATCTTTGATGCCGCACCGATTTCTATGGGCTCGTTTAAACATTAGTAACCGGATTGGTGCTTGGTACGACCGTCGGCTCTTTAGCTCTGACTAGGTTTAATACAGATTACCATTTTATTAGCCGTCTATAATTTTATTATGTATTTTTTTTTCTTCTTACAAAGACATACATCAAAGCAGCATCTCTCATTTGCAATGAAATCTATGATATCTTAGAAATTTACGATTTACTCTATACGATATAGGATATTTTCATGCGTGACGCAATGCAGTAGACGATTTCCTGGAATAGTTGCGATACGAGGAGCGTCTTGATAAATATATCGAATTATCGTTTCTTGATCGTTTTCGGCGTTAGGCTTCGGCTTCTCTGCTCGATGGTAAATGGAAGACTGCCGAAAATAAATATATTCCTTAGTCAAACACCGTGCGTACCTTCGCGTAGCTGCTTTGAAAAATCTTTAGACATTTGTGAACGTCCTATCGATAAAACGATGCCGCCTATTTGGCTGTCAGAACCATGCGTAAACGCAACCGTAACTAAATCTATCCCATTATTCAAAATGAGTATAAAGACTTCTATTTGAGGACGAGGAAGAAACTTACTGCAGATGGCAGCACTTGCTTCGGTTCTTTTTTTTATAGGGCTAGCGGCTCTTACCGACCGAGTTATTCTTTAATTGAGGGATTGCCCGCTAACGGCGTCTCGTTTCCAATCTTTTATTTACGATAATTGAGGATTGTGGGATTTTGATGAAAAAATAATAAACTACAATGTATGGATTTAGTTCCAGGCACTGAGGTCACCCAATAATGATTATGTCACGAATAGATTTATACTACGTGGATGAAATAAGAGATGAATAACCATTTATTATCAAAAAGTTTATGTAATGAATCTTAGCAGTTGCGCAATACCTATCATCGTACGCCGGTTCTCACTAGGATTTTCAATTAGCTTTTTCATATTAAGGGAGAGTACGATAAGAACAGTAAAACATTTGATCAACTATATCAGACGATCGAAACGCAGATGACTGGAATCACAAGAAACGCCATTTCCGTTCTTGGACGATCGTCATTTGTTTCTCTGCATCGACAGTTTCACTTATCTGCTAGAAATATGGTTATAGCCGTAAGTATATTGATGTTACTTTATAAATAAAAGGATCTTATTAAGACATTGTTAATTTAATTTTTGAATGGTATTCTGTAGGTTGGAGACAAACTTCCCTCAGTGGATCTCTATGAGGAGACTCCAGCCAACAAGGTCAACTTGGCCCAGCTTGCTGCAGGGAAGAAGATAATAATTTTTGCTGTTCCCGGAGCATTCACTCCTGGTTGCTCCAAGGTACATTTATTTGTGTATACTTCATACACAATTGAAACTGTCAAGTCAGTCGTGACATTGAAATGATTAAATATTTTCTCAGACTCATCTTCCTGGATACATACAAAAAGCTAATGAACTAAAATCTAAGGGATTTTCTGACATTTTCTGCATTGGAGTCAACGACCCATTTGTTATGGCTGCATGGGGTAAAGATCAGGGTGCTGAAGGAAAGGTATATTGTGAAGATATTTTGTTATTATCATATAATAATTTAACATATCATTTTAGATTCGCATGCTGGCAGATCCTACTGCTGCTTTCACTGATGCTCTGGAACTCTCAGTCAATCTACCAGCTCTGGGAGGAAAGCGTAGCAAGCGGTACTCCATGGTAGTTGCTGATAGTATTGTCAAGGAACTTAATGTTGAGCCTGATAACACTGGACTCTCTTGCTCACTTGCTGATCGTATCAATGTCTAAATTAAGTTTACTGATTACAGCATAAACAGGCATTAATAATTATGACTAGCATATTACTGATTCAGCTTTACACAAAATGAGATCAACAATTCTTCATACACTTCACGTGTCTTCAAGGCATTATGTATAATGGGTTATTAAGAATGGAGTACTACAAAAATTTTATCTGCTCAAAATACTGTTTATGAAAATGTATAATTTGAGATTGTTTTCTTGCAGTTTCTTACAAGACAAAAAGTATTTGAGACAATTTAATAAGTTTAGTTGCTACCTGCTACCAAATATATATCGATATAAATTATCTATGACATTGAAGAAGATCTAATCAACTATGTATAATTTCAAATTAAAAACAGAATGTCAACAAGGTTAAGTTAAATATTCTGCAAAGTAAGTAGGTTTAACACGTTTTGTGCAACTTCGCGCACATTTGCAATATTTTTGTTGGTAAAATAAATGTTACTTTTCTTTGAAATCAAGTTTTATTTATTACCTTGTCAAATTCTAATTTTTTACATTTGGTTCGTTTCCAAAGTTCGTTCAAATTTTACCACCAGAATTGAGTAGGGAGATCGACTCATTGGTATTCTTTCCAAAGATGAGTAGGGAAATGCACAACAGAGATCAGCAGGGAGATGTACAACGCTCCGGTTTTAGGCGATACCAAACTCATGCCGCTAAATCGTAGCGGCAAGTCTGGAAGTAGAGTTATGTGATCATCGCCTCCGTCGACAATGCAAATTCCGTCGTAGTCGAGCTAAACGTGAACACGAACGCGTAGCTTGGCGGGCAGAGGTTCTCCGCTACTCACCGCTGGTTCCCAAAGCAACTCTTAGAACGAGACCGGGAACTATAGAACTTCTCAAGAATTATTGAAAAAGCCTATTGTTGAAATATTTTTAAGACATTTTTAAGAAAGTGCCAACTTGACACCCGTGTAGCACCTCAATTTTTACTAAATATTATTGGATCTTGATTTACTTTAAAAATTTATTTCAAATATAAAACTGAGGCTAAATCAAAATCTCGCTAAATATACGGAGTAGCTAAAAATTGAATTGAAATTGTAGATTATCGAAAATAAGTACGTTAAAATTGAAATATTAATAAATTAGGTGTTTAGAACATTAAAATAATTAATTAAATCAATAAAGTAAAATAATAACACTCAGAAATCGAAAATTCAGGCCAAGCATATTTAGAAGTACTGGAAGTTGCCTAAAATTGTGTGCACGCAAATTCGACGCGGAGGACTCGGCGAGTGGGAGCAGGCAGAGAGTGGGGAGAGCGCTCAAGGCAGTGCCCGGACTCGGAGCGCTCATTCTTCCTCGAGCCGGTCTCTTATACTGGTCTCTTGGAATCATTTCGAACCTTTTTCTATTTTTATATTTATTTCTTCTTTACTCCTTTATTTCTATATTCATTTCTTTCTTATTATCTGATTCTCACTTCTTTATTTCTATATCCATTCACATCCTTCTTCTTCGTCTTTATTTATTTCTTCTTTAAATTCCTTATTTCTTTATATTTCATTCTTTACTTTCTCACTTATCTCTTTCCTTGTTTCTTCTCCACTTTTATAACTCTATTCCTTACTTTTCTACTTCTTCTTTATTTATTTCTTCATTACTTCCTTATTTCTTTATATTTCATTCTTTACTTTCTCACTTATCTCTTTCCTTGTTTCTTCTCCACTTTTATAACTCTATTCCTTACTTTTCTACTTCTTCTTTATTTATTTCTTCATTACTTCCTTATTTCTTTATATTTCATTCTTTACTTTCTCACTTATCTCTTTCCTTGTTTCTTCTCCACTTTTATAACTCTATTCCTTACTTTTCTACTTCTTCTTTATTTATTTCTTCATTACTTCCTTATTTCTTTATATTTCATTCTTTACTTTCTCACTTATCTCTTTCCTTGTTTCTTCTCCACTTTTATAACTCTATTCCTTACTTTTCTACTTCTTCTTTATTTATTTCTTCATTACTTCCTTATTTCTTTATATTTCATTCTTTACTTTCTGATTTATCTCTTTTCTTTTTTCTTCTCTACTTTTATATCCCCATTCATTACTTTTCTATTTTTTAAATTCTTAAATTTTATCATTCCTTATAACTTCACGTTTCACTCTGTTCTCTCCCACTTTACATTGTGCTTGTCTTACTTTTCCTGTTTCCTTGGTCGGGTCGAGCATATTAATTCAAGTAGTTTTTTATTTAAACCACTATATGGAATTATTGACGGGACTGGTACATAGAAGAAAAAGAAATAACGGAGATATTTGCCAATCGATGTGATCGCATACGTCCCTGATAATTTGGACATCAACCAGTAAAAAGGAATATCGCAAACAATTCCTCCATAATTTTATCAA